CTTTTTTTTTTACTGGAGATTGAATTCATGACCTTGCTCTTGCTAGGTAGGCACTTATGCTGCCGAGCTATATCCCCAGCCCCTAATGTGTCTTATTGTAATATATTTTTATTTAAAAATTCACTGTGTATTTCAATCATCCTTTGAGTATATCTTCAGAAGTAGTGAAGATTATGGTATCATACTTCTACATACATGTAAGAGGCCCATAACATGTTTCAGGAAAATATAATCTGTTAAAATTCTATCTGTAGGGGCTGGCCAAATAGCTCAGCGGATTAAAGTGCTTGCAAGCAGGCTCGGGGATAGGGGTTTGATCCCGACCCTGCCAAGCTGCCCTCCCCCCTCCCCGGGCACACTGAAATGGCAGTTGAGACTGGTTGTGGGGGCGCATGCCTGTAATCCCAGTTCTTGGGAGGCTGTAAACAGGTGAATCACTAAAGTCCAATCTAGTAGTGAAACCCTGACACCCTATAGACACTTCCCTAAAATAAAAAAAAAAAAAAATACTATCTATACCTAGCTCAGAGGATTTTAAAGCACTGCTTAGGCAGATGCGGGGACCAGGGTTCGATCCTCTACATGCTGTGCTGGCCCTGCCCTCAGGATGCTGAGATGGGGTGTGCTGAGACAGTGATTGAGATTGGGCATAGTGGCATGAGCCTATAATCCCATCACTTGGGAAGCTGAAAACAGGAGGATCACTATAAATCCTATCTGTGTAGTGAGACCCTGTAGACCCTTTACTAAATACATAAGGCTTTTTTTTTTTTTTTTTTTGTTCCTCGAATGCCTTCAGGGCACTTTTGGCCAGCTGGAGAGGTGTGAGGTTTGAACTCCAGCAACCTGAGGCTGACAGCTTTGTGGAAGCAGCCACTTAAAGAACTGAGCTAGGGCCAGGCCCCCAAATATTGGTATTTTTACTATTTTGTACAGAGACATTTTTTTTTTTTTTTTTTTGGCAGAACCGGGGATTGAACTCAGACCATTGCGCTTCCCAGGGAAGCGCTTATTCCACTGAGCCATCTCCCCGGCCCCTTTTACTAAATACATAAAAGAATAAAATGCTATCTGTATCATTTCTATTTTGCTGCTATATGCCATCAATATTTTAATTACTTTAATTTTACTAGATTTTCTTAAATTACTTTTTAAGTTTTTTAATTTGCGTTTTTTACTTCTAGTTTCTGGTACCACTACTGTTGAAAGAATGTTTATCTTCAAAATGTGCACTATAAATGTTAAATATTTTAAATTCTTATATTGTAGGAGTTTGATTTCCATGTTCGCTGGCCTGGTGTGAAGCTTCTGACTTCTCTTTTAAAACAACTAGGTCCTCAGGTGCAACAAATTATTTTAGTCAGTCCCATGGGTACGTGACTACTTCTTTTTGTAATCTTGGTTTAAAAATAAGAACCATTTTCTAGATCATGTTCTGATAAACTGTGGTTTGCATTAGTGTATTTTGTGGTACACCAGTATTTTTCTCTTGGTTGTCTATTCTAGGTGTTTCAAGACTGATGGACTTACTAGCAGATTCCAGGGAAGTTATACGCAATGATGTAAGTTACACTGAAAGCGCCAAGGATATGCAGCTTTTTTCTCATTGTAGTTAAAATCATTGTTGACCCTTGTCATAACAGAGAGGTTAGATTTAGAAAGTTGGACAATGCTCAGTCTTTTAAATCTTTTTAGGTTATATAGACAAGAACACACTATCCCTTTGTTTTCTGCCTACCCAGTATTTGAGGCTATACAAACTATTTTGCTATTGAGATTTATTACTCTTAGTCAGTTGGGTGATATGGGCCTGTAAACCCAGTGCTGTGAGAGGCTAAGGCAGGAGGATCACAGGTTCAGGCCCAGCCTGGCAATTTAGTGATTTAGCAAGATCCTGTCTCAGAATATAAAAATGGGCTAGATAGAGAGTTCAGTGAGAAGGACCTGGAGTCAGTCCTTCATACATTAAAAAGAGATCTTTCTCCCACAGATTAGGCTTTCTTACCTTGCCTTCTGAAAGGTTGTATTGACCCAGAACTCTACCTGCAGAATTCTGTTTACTTTCTTGACAGCAGAGGAAACCTTCCTAGACCTTGAATATTTGTGTAACTTTGCAAAGCAGTGCCACAAAGCGTTTCCAGTAATTTTCTTTGATAATCTTTGTTTGACTACAGCGCATGTTTTGCTTTGGAGTTATTTTTGATTCTTAATTTAGTATTTGCATATAGGTTTGCACATTTTTTATTATTATTTTGGTTGCTGGCAACCCAGCCCACATCCTTGTACAAGTGAGACAAGTATTCCACCATGAAGCGAAACCCTGGCCTGATGTTTTTTGAGTGTTTCATATTGATGTCATATACCATACTGTGTTGCTTGACCTGCTTTCTCTGTTGTTACCTACAGCTTGTCAGAACTGAGTATTGTTTGGCCTGGCCTAGCATGCACAGAGACCTGAGTTTAGTGCCCAACACCATAGAAAAATCAGGAATTCAGTATTCTTTAGATAGAGATAGCAGGTGGAAGAAATTGAACTGTGGAGCTAAAGCAGTGAGGGCAAACCTTTTAGAGCTTTCCTACCACTGAACGAAAGCTTCTTATGGAGCCAGTTCAATGTCCATGTCCACAAACACAGGGAGAAACTCGGGCTGCTGAGGCTGAGTGACTTGTTCTTGGTAGTTCGTGTACTCGTGCTTCTAGGCCCTGCCCCTTTTCGCACTGCTACTGAAAGTCCCTTCACTGTTCTTAGCTGCCTACCTGGCTAATGCCAAAGCAGAAACAAAAGTACTAACTTCTGCTTCATGTAGATAATTTATAATTTACATAAAATTTTGTGACAGGTGTATCATAAAATGCAATATTATAGAAGCTAAAGATAGACATTAAATATATCTCATGAAAAATACTGTTTTTTGATGGTGATAGTACTGAGAATTGAGCCCAGGGCCTTCATGTTGAGCTACAGTCCCAGCTCATTTTTATATTTTACTTTAAGTCATGGTCTCACTAATTCACTCAAACTTGTGGTCCTCCTGATTCAGCCTCTCAGAGTGCTGAGATTACAGCTATGTACCACCACACTTAACATTTTTTTATTCTTTGATCTTTAACTATTGTAAGAATTGTCTGTTTAGGGAGATGTTGATAGAGGCTCTCACTCTGTAATTGAGACTGGCCTGGAACTTGCTGTTTTTCCACCCAGCCTCCAGAGTGCTGGGATTATAGGTATGTACCACCATACCTGGTGTTTCAGTTAGTTTTTACTTGTTCCTGGGACAAAATACCTAACATCCAAAATTGAGGAAGGAAAGGCTTATTTAGCTCACAGTTTGTGGAGGTTTTAGTCTATACTCGGCTGACTCCAAGGCAAATGGCAGCAGAAAACAGCAAAAAGCAAAGGGAAGGGCAGCAGCTGTGGCTTCTAGCAAGCTTCTCTTTTCTCCTTACATTGTAAACAAACTACCCTGGGCTGGGGGTGTAGAATTCACACAATATCCATGCCATCCTCTTTCACAAGATGAGGATATTTACAAATACAAGAATCCTGGCTCTCTGCTGAATCACTTAATTAAACTTATAAACTTCTCAAATTGACACAGTGTATCAGCCAGTACACCTGGCAAGAATTATGTTACTATCAGCATCTGTCTGTTAGCAATTTGGGTATCTTGCCTTGATTAATACCCTTACCATTTATAAATTTGGCTTTTGTATGGTTCAGGGACTCAAACTCAGTATTAGGTGTGAAACAAGCCTTCTAGCACTGTGCTGTATCTCTAGTCCCATCCTCATATTGTGAATACAGCTGCATTGTAGGCTTTTTTTTCTTTAATTTTCCTCTTTTCTTTCTGTTCCTAACCTTTTTCCTCCTTTTTTGAGATCAAATGATTGTTTATATGTGTTGGCTCTCATTAGTTTTATGATTGAGAATTCAGTTCTATTTTGTTGCATTGTCTAGATTTTCATTTTACATGTCTTACAGTCATATTCTCCGTGGCTTCAATAACCTTTTCAAGAGGATAAGGAGGAAAGAAACTAACATATTTAGACCCCAAAAGATAATAGGTTCTGTAGAATTCATTAGGAACCCCTTGAAATGCTGTCATTACCTGTTGAGAATATTGCGAAGCAGCTTTTCTGTCATTCACTTGAAGTTACACAGCACTTAAGCAGGGCAGTGAGTCTTCAGACTCATTCGCCAGTCTCAGTCAGAACACAGCACTATTCCTCCACTGCCTCTTGCCATTGTTGAGGTAAGTTCAGTTGGCAGCACGGGTAGGAGACAGATAGCCTCTGCAGGCGTCACTTATCTTTGCCCCGGGCTCAGTGCACGGACCTGACTGGCAGGAAGGCCAGCAGAGTGGCCACGGGGTTGGGCTGTCTCAGCGTCATGTGGATGCCCCTTCCTTTGATGCAGCCACTGGCAGTGGGCTGGCTCTGAGGGACCTTTGAATTGACTGCTCACCATTCCTCTTTTGAAGCAATATTTGTGTTGGTTTTCATAAAATTCTTGCTGCTTTTTTGACAGTCATGCCTTATGGCTCATCAGTACTTGTTTTTACTGAAATAAGCAGAAATGGATTATAAGCAGAAGAGTTATTTTTCTAGAACAATAAAAAAGTAGCAAAATAAACTAAATGTGACTTAGCCAAAGCTGAGAAAACTGAAAAGGCAGAGGCAGAGACTGCTTCTGTGCAGGATATCACATGCAGCAAGTGTGAATTTTCATCTTTCTCTTGTCTTTTGACTGGGATTTGAGGGCCATATGTTTACATCTGACTTTGTCTGCGAGATTGTGGCCATGTTGTTAATGTAATGTTGGCCAGCAGGTACAGTCACGTTCCTGGGAAAGAGCTAATCCAGCTCTGCTCATTGGGTACAGTGAGTGCTGTGTGATGATGGAGGAGTATGGCAGAATTGGGTGTTCATATCCCATAAATGGTGAGAAGAGACCAGAACTAGGAATTGTAGATGTGGCTTGAGGCAAGGCCCTGTGCCTCTGAGATTTATAGCCATGGGGAGGCAAATTACCTCTCGGTCCTTCTTTTCCCTGGACATAAAGGAATTGAACTTAGGAAATTCCTGCCAGTTCTAAACATCTGTGGTTTTTATATTAATTTTAAGATGTCTTGTAAATGTCATACACTACTGTACATTATTTTTCTTCTCTCCTAGGGCGTTTTATTACTTCAGGCACTGACAAGAAGCAATGGTGCAATTCAGAAAATAGTTGCCTTTGAAAATGCTTTTGAAAGACTCCTGGACATTATCACAGAGGAGGGGAGCAGTGATGGAGGTAGAGTGTATGAGGAGACTGCTGTGTGCTCAGAATGGCTGGCTTCTGGCACAAACACCTTGTCTCACTATGGTGTATTAGGGTGCATTTCCTCTTTTCATTTGATGTTTGTTAGGCTTTTGTAATGTAAGCTGATGTCTTTCTTCATTTTTGGAAAATCCTACTTGTACCTCTTTAAGTGCTGCTTTACCACATTTTCTCTATGTAAGGTTTAGGGGAAGGCACAGGGACCTTTTCAGATTGATGGTACAAATTGAGTTGACCCAGTGTCATGTGGTGAGTGTGACAGAGGGAGATGGTTGGTTGTTGCCTTCTGGACAACAGGGGTGTGAGTTCCTTGCTTGACTGAGGAAGATTCCAGTGAGAGGGAGGCCTGAAGAGGGTGTCCACCAGGATTCACAGCAGTGCTATGTCTTGGTTAGGATGACTATGGAACACTGTGCCCCAGCTGCCGTAGTACAGAGGTGGCAGAGAAGGTCAGTGTTTCACAGGGCTTGGGCTTTTCCAGCAATTTTTATGAAATGACAGAAAAATAAGAGAACTTATCAGATTGTCTGTAGAGTGGGCAAAATGAAGGTTTGTATAATTTAAGCTAGGCAGAGAAGGAAGTAAAGATAGAAAGTAATTTTTTTTTTAAGAGAAAAAGTCATTTGATTGAAGGGTTGAAAGTCTTAAGGAAGCCTTAGAACATTAGTGCATTAGCCAGAAAAATAGGAAGCTTTGGTAAAAGATTGAGAATTGTCACTGAAGGGAGGCCACAGAACTAGGAGTTCCAGATATCATGTGGGTTGTAGTTGACATTAAAATCTTTAAAAGTGATAGCAGGACTTGGGAAAGGAGATTTTGACAGTGATGTTTTCCAAGAGGAAGGATGGTGCCTGCAGATTTGTTACATGACTACTGTGGGAAGAGATGGCACAGCTGCGTAGCCCCAGCCTTCATGCAACCTTCTGATCTGGTGTCAGATGTGCTACCATTGCGCCAGCCCCAGCCCTCAGGAAATAAAGAGTTTGTTGGAAGCAGGTAGAGGAAAGCACCTGGCTGCAATATCAGAGGCTCGGCCTTCCAGCTCTGAGACTTAAGCAGCTGAGAAGGAGCTACCTTTACGAGAGACCCTCACAGCATGAAGTAGGTCGCTCAAGATGAGGAGCATTCAGGAAGCCATTGAGCGGGCAGCACGTTGTCTTAACTAGTGTTTGAGGTTTTCAAGCAGCATCCTGCAAGACTTTGAAAGGAGATTAAATGGAGGAGAGTGAAAGTAAGAGTGCACTGATAGTCAGAGGTGGGCATTTCGGGAGGTGACTGAGGGAAACAGGTTTACAGCAGGGTGGGATTAGCTGACTTGTTAGCACAGAGAGTAGCAGCTCTTTTAAGTGATGGGGACCTTCAGGGTTTTAGAAGTTGCTCTGGGTGCCTTGCAGCAAAGGCCTGCCAGTTGGAGTGTGGGTTTTAGTGCAGAATCACATCGTGGAGATGAGGTGGGTACAGTGGTTCCTTTTAGGACACAGAGTCTTAGACCAGGCCTTTCATTGGGAGACCAGGACTGGCCAGTCAGAGACTCCTAAAAAGCATGAAAATGTGCATGTTAAATTAGTAAAATAAAAGTGTACATATTATGTATTAATTTTGAGTTAGAGCCAGGAATTTTTCTGAGTATATGGGTCTGCTGCTTCAGGTTCTCATCTTTCTTATACTCATTGCTCCTGCATTTGTCCTGTATTCTTTGAGGTAGAGCTTGTACTCTTTTACAGCTCTCCCTGTTTTTCAGATTTGTATTGTCCGTGCTTGACTAGACAGCTGTTTTTAATGATTTGCTTCCTTGAGTTTTATCAAAGACTTACATTTAGTGCTCATAAAAATAACCTCTTTTCACATTTACACATTGCAAATTTACATAAAGTTTCATTAATAACCAATGAACTAGAAACTCTCAAATATGATGCCAAGGCCTGATCCTTGAAAGAAAGAAATCAGTAAGTTTTGAAATGCTTAGATTAAACTTAAAATTCATTAAAATTGAAAACTTACTCTGCCAAAGACACTGTTGAAAGAATGAAGACACAGACTGGGGGCAAATATTTGCAAAAACATATGTTTGAAAAGGGACTTTAGATCAAATATACCAAGAATTCTTAAAACTTAGCAATAAGAAAATAAACCAATCAAAAAGGGGCAAAAGATCTGAACAGATTCCACACCGAAGAAGATATACAGAAGGCAAGTATATGTAGGAAAAGATATTTAAGACCTATGTCTTAGGGAACTCATTAAAATCCTAAGACATTACTACATGTTTGTTATAATGGTGAAAATGAAGAATGTGGCTGCTGCCGCCAGCTACTGGTGAGACTGTATGAACATAACTCACACTGCCAGTGGGGTGCGGAATGGTAGAAACCCAATTTGGAAGACAATATGGTGGTTTCTTACAAAGCTAAACATGGTATAACCATTTGATCTAAAGTCAAGTTCCTTGATATTTACCCAAATTAGTTTAAAACTTATATCTATACCAAAGCTTGCACATGAATGTTTTATCTGTAATTGCCTGAACTAGGATGCAACCAAAATGTCCTTTAGTAAGTGAATGGATAAACAAACTCTAGTAATCCATACAATGAGACAGTCACAGTAAAAAGAAGAGTTACAGACTACAAAAGGATGTAGAATAAACTTAAACACATATTACTAAGTAATTATAACTATAACATTGTGGGAAAGGCAAAAATATAGACACAGTAGGATTGCTGATTACAGGAATTCCATGGTAGGGGAAGGAGGTATGGATGAGTGACACAGGACATTTTAAGGCAGAGAAGCTATTCTGTATGAAGTTGTAATAGTAGACACTGAAGACTATATTTAAGATCCATAGTACTTTGTAGAACTGCACAGGGTTCAAGGGCAAACCTGAATGCAAACTAAGGACTTGAGTCATAAGTTGATATTTGTTGACAAGTTGAAACAAATGTACTACAGTAAATGTACCGCACTACTAGTGCAAGCTATAAAAGGGAAAAGTAAGAGGGAGAGAATATATAGAGACTATTTGTAGTCTGTTTTCTGCAACTAAAAGAACTGTTACTTAAAGTAATTGATCGTTGTAGACAGGTATGCCAATCAGTGGGAGCCAAAGTGTGCGTAGGAAGTGGCTTAGAAGTTCAGCCTGCTTTGAGGAGGACAGGAAATCCCTTGTGCTTCCTCAGCCTGGAAGTATGCTCTGTGGGAATAGCAGTGTGCTTGGAGCTGCCTGGAGGCAGGAGTGTTGCCGGCAGAGAAATGGTTCAGCAGTGGAGGACAGGAACTCTGAAGAGTACCTGGGGAGGGCCTGAGAGAGAGAAGGAAAACCGGAGGAGAATCATGTTTTAGAAACCAAGGGGCTGGTGATACAGCTTAGCGACATAAGTGCCCACCAGGCAAGCACAAGGTCCTGAATTTGATCCCCGGTCCCGAAAGAAAAAAAAAAAAAAGGCAGTCTTAAGAGAGACAACAGTGCCAGTGCTTCCTAGAGATTGTATAAGATAGAGATTCGTTCAGTGAGTGTTAATGATTAGCTACTGTGTGGATATTGATACTCTGTTTGCACTGTTTCTATCTATGCCAAAAGATAGAGAAATTGGGTGTCCACATCATCCTATGCTCGTGAGTTTCCTCTGTGCAGACACATACTCCTTTGATGATGAAGAGATCCACACCAGGACAAGCATGAGCCGGGGATCCTAACCTAGTCCTTGGGTCATGATAATTGTTCCTTTAATCTTGTATTTCAGTGAAAAATAGAGTTGCTGTGGTGAGTGGGTGGTTGGACGTAGAAGTTGAGAGATGGAGAAAGAGCAGACAGATTGCATCCTTCATGCTCAGTAGTCCGTTCACAGTGGCATTTGCCCTGCCACCCAGAGAGCTGCTAGGTGTGGAGATGCAGTAAGTTTTTTCCAGGGTTGGAGATTGAATTTTCCTTCAACTTTTTTTAGACTTTACATTTTACATCCTCTCCCCAGGCATAGTCGTTGAAGATTGTTTGATTTTGCTCCAAAACTTGTTAAAAAACAACAATTCCAATCAAAATTTTTTTAAAGAAGGCTCATATATTCAGCGCATGAAACCTTGGTTTGAAGTTGGAGATGAGAATTCTGGCTGGTCTGCACAGAAAGTGACAAATCTACATCTAATGCTACAGGTAAGTGGTGTGCTCTCGTTGGACACAAACAGAATTTCACCATAATGATTCTTTCAGAAGAGAGAAAATTGATTGTATTTGGTAAATTATAGATACTAGGTTTTAGGTGGGCTTTAAAAAACTGATATTAATATCGAAATTTACAGTTATATTCTGAGAGAAAGAGAAATTCCCTGCTTTCCACTCCAGCTTTGATTTTAATCTCACAATTTTGTTTTATCTTTTATGCCTCCCTTGTCCTTTTTTTTGGTGTTTCAGTACAGGATCTACAAGGTCTATAGGGTCTCACTACATAGATTGTAGTCCAGTGATCCACCTGTGTTCAGCCTCCCACAAGCTGGGATTACAGGCGTGCCCCCCACCCAACTCCAAGTCTCAATCGCGGGCTCAGCACACACCAGGGATGGGGGCGGCACAGCAGGCCTGGGATTAAACCCCTGCCCCTGGCCCCTGCATCTGCCTAAGCAGGCGCTTTAATCCGCTGAGCTATTTGGCCGTCCCCTCTTTTGTATTATTTTGAAGCAAATACATATATATATAGTTGTCTGGTGGGTTTTACATTAGAGAATAAATTCAAGTTTGTTTTTTTTATTTACTTATTTTTTTATTTTTTTTGGAGGAACCGGGGATTGAACTCAGACCCCTGTGCTTGCCAGGGAAGCGCTTATTCTACTGAGCCATCTCCCCGGACCCCCATCAAATTTGTTTAATGGAGGGTAGCATATACAGAAAAATACAATATTGCAGTTACATACTGAGTTGGTTCTTTGTTTTTACTTTGAAAAAGTGAGTAAGTTGTGCCAGGCACGGTAGTAGCCACCAGAAGCCGCAGCTACGTTAAGGAGGCTGAGCAGGGAGGTCCCCTTGAGCCAGTCCAGGCCCACTGCAACAATACTATTATGAGACCTGGTCTCAAAAAAAGTGTCTGTACTAATGGACTTATTTAGCATTGCTGAGACACAGTGACCAGCACCCACAGCTTCAAAGAAGAAAGGTTAATTTTGGCTCACAGTTTATAGATACTGGATCCAAGGCAGGGTGGCATGGTAGAGGGGCATGATAGAGAAGAGATAGCTCATGGCATGGCAGTGAGAAGCAGTGGCATCAAGGGAGCAGGAGAGATATAGCGTGCGCGCACACACACACACACACACACACATTCCAGAGCATGCCCATAGTGACCCAGTGTGCTTCACGTCCCCACATCACACCCAATGATAAACCCATCAGTAGATGTGTCACACACCTGTGACCCAGGAACCTCCCTAAAACCACATCAGTGGGCACATGAGACTCTTGAAGGGACATCTAGATATAAACTGTAACACTGATTTTGCTTAGGTTATTAAAGCTTTCCTTCCTTGGTGGCAAGAACCTGAAATTCCACATACCTGGGTGGCTCAGACAGGAGGATAATAAGTTCCCGTGCAACCTGGGCATCTCAGCAAGGTCCTGTCTCACATTAAAGAGTAAAAAAAGCTGGGGATATAGTGTTGTGCAGAAGGCCTGAGTTTACTCCCCAGAACTACAACAACAAACTGCTTTCCTTTTTTAGACTAATAGGGACCATAATTCTCAAGCCTGGGGGCTGAGATGAACTCAGTCTGAGTGGTTTATGTATTCATATCTTCAGAGATGCAGGTTTTCCTGAGTGTGTCATTCCAGGGATCTGTCTTTGTGGCTGTGTTCTAGCAGCTTTAACTCTAGCTCCTCTGTGGTACACTGAAGGAACTGCGCGAGCGTTTTCCTGTTGGTCACATGCATCTTAGTTTTCAGTCACAGCTGAATTTGTAGGCATCGAGAGTGGAATTGATCTGCTAAGGTTTTTTTTGTTTGGTTGGTTGGTTGGTTGTTTTTTTTTTTTTTTTTAAGATAGTGAGATCTTCACTCTGTTCTCAGGTTGCCCTTGAACTCCTAAGTTCAAACAGTCTTCTCACCTCACCTTCTGTAGTAGCTGGTACTATGGGTTTACCTGAAGAGTTTTATTTATATTTTGCAGAGAAAAATCCAGGAAAATATGTTTGGAATAATTTTTTAGTTATATATATTGTGTGTCAAAATCTGTCTTGATATAACATCTACAAGTATCTTCTAGTTTTATTGTGAGATAGTGCAAGTCTTTCTCATGATAATATTTTACATACTATTTGAATAGCATTATTAGATTGTCCCTTATCAGAAGTGTAATCTCTTTCTTCAGCCATGCTGCGTACTTTATTGTCTTTTAGGAATTTGATAATTACTTTTTCTACTTGCAAAGTCAGTAGAGGCACTCAACTGCTACTAAGTGATATTAAAGAATTATTGTTAATTTGTTAGATATAGTAATGAGTATACTTAGGTTATTGTTGCTGTTGGTTTGGGGAAGTGTTGCTGAAGCTTGAACCCAGACCTCGTGCGTGCTAGGCAAGCAGTGTATCACTGAGCTACATCCTTAGCCCAAATAAAAAATTTTTTAAATTTAATTTATATATATATATATATATATATATATATACACACACACACACACTGTATAGTCTTTTGGGCCCACTTTTTTTGGGAAGGGGGACAAGGTCTTACTATGTAGTCCTAGACTGTCCTCGAACTTGAAGCAGGCCTCCTACCTCTGCTTCCCAAGTGCTGCAAATACAGGCATGCAGTACCACACATGGCCTGAGCCCACTTTTTTATGTTTTTGGAATTTGATGCTGAAGTTTAGAGGAATTGTACAATTGTAGAGATTTAATGAGTGCAGCAGTTAAAGAGGCCAGCCCCTTGCCTAATGCTGGTTCTAATGCTAGGGATGTAGTTTGGTACAGAACTACATTCTGCTGTGTCTCCAGGTGTGAGCTTTTGTCTCTCTGTAAATATTTATAGCTTTTGTCTCTCTGTAAATATTTGTGGAGGTTGATTGTATTATTTTCAGACTTACTGTATTATTAGGTAATTTTTCCTTGCTTCACTAAATCTGTCATCCTGAACCAAATTGTTTTTCATTATTGAATGTTTGCTGTGTCACCAGTGCTGTACTTACGGGTTGGGATTTAGACCTGACTGGGTCAGTTGGTGCTATGGGAGTAAATAGTGTGATGTGATATGCTTTGGCCCTGCATGGTTGCCATGGCAGCGTGAAGGTACATGCACCTAGGTCTGGCCAAGCAGGCAAGGGATATGTCCTACAGATCTCTTGTTCATCTGGACCAGATTTGTCTCCATTCTTTCCAGATGTTTAAAAGACAAATAGTGTTTTCTCTTTGTCACAGCTTGTGCGGGTGCTGGTGTCTCCCACCAACCCCCCCGGGGCCACCAGCAGCTGCCAGAAGGCCATGTTTCAGTGCGGCTTGCTGCAGCAGCTGTGTACCATCCTGATGGCTACTGGGGTTCCTGCTGACATCCTGACCGAGGTGAGGAGTAGCCACAGTGGACCACCACTGTGCATGTTAGGTTATGTGCTTATCTCCCTGAATGAAACAGTGACACTGTTGCTTGCCAAGTGTCTTCCTTCAGGCTTTAGAGTACAGAGCCTGTGTCAGAGCCCAACTAGCTGATCTACCCAGAAAGATTTCCCATGTTGTACATATGTAATGGTTGTGTTCAGTATGACTTAAGTTTTAATAGAGGAAAAGTTTGTTTACATTTGTTGTCTCAAAAAAAGGACATTAAAAGTGCAAATAGTAAAAGTTCTTTAACTACAGTAGCTGTTTTGGGCCTCACTGCTCTCTAAGCAGGGCAGTCTCACTCTCCTCCCTCCTGTCACTGCGTCACATGCTGAAACTTATGCTCAAAGGACAGTCCCAGTGTATAGTGCTGAGGCAATGCCAAGCTAGCACTGATTGTGCTAAGCTGAGTCCTGTGTCTGTGAGGCGGGCATCTCTCTGTGTGCTGTACTTGTACTCGTTTCTGCCAGCCTTCTGTGTAACTGCAGACACCATTATGGTGTCCTGTGCCCCTTCCCACTTCCCTCAGAACCGCTGTGCTCTGGCCCCAGCTGAGCTCTGACCCTCTCCATTTCCTTTTCCTCTCTTGGTGTGGGCTCTGTGGTTATATGAATCTCATATCATCCCTACCCCCTTAACTGGGGTGTCTTCTGACTTCTACTCCTTCTTTAAAAATTTCACCTTTTTTCTTTAGAAGCTTCGAAAATGTTTTTTCATTTTCTAAAATTTACTGCTGATACACTGTACTAGGGACCTTTTTCTCCTTCCCTAATTTTCTTTTCTTTTCTTTTCTTTTCTTTTTTTTTTTTTTTCTGTATTTTAGGGAAGGGTATAGGGTGTGTTCAGTGTCTCACTATGAGGTCTCACTACTAGATTGAACTCGTAGTGATTCTCCCGTTTACAGCCTCCCAAGTGCTGGGATTACAGGATTACAGGCGTGCGCCACCACACCCACTCTCAATTGCCATCTCAGTGCACCCTGGGCGCCTGGCTGGTACAGTAGGCCCAGGGATTGAACCCCCAGCCCCTGTGCCTGCTTGCAGGTGCTTTAATCCACTGAGCTATTTGGCTGATCCTCCCCAATTACTTTTGTCACTTGACTCTGTAGCTAGACTGTTCTTCTGTTCTGGTGTTCTTGATAACTTCCTCTTCTTTCTGATCTTTTTCTGCAATTCTAGTAATAGACTGCTAGACTTTCTGGACCTAGTATGTTTTTAAAATTTTTAAATTTATTTTTAATTGACAATTAAAATGTTTTCAAAAATAGCATGTTTTTAAATTTTGTTTTCTTTTTGAGACAGGGTTTCGCTATGTAGTTCAGACTGACCTTAAACACACTATATAGCTTAGGCTGGCCTCAAACTCTCAGCAGTCCTCCTCCCTCAGCCTCTTAAATGCTTGATTATAGGTGTGTTCTACCACACCAAGCACCAGCATGTTGTTTTGAAATATTTTTTTCTGTTCTATTTTCGTGAAGGGTTTTCTACCTTCATCCTTCAATTTTTGTTGTTTCTAATACATTAATACATTACTACTACTAAAAGTACATTAGTATTATTTTAGATTTTGTTTGGTTTAGTTTTTGAGACAGAGTCTTGCTGTATATCCCGAGCTGGCCTTGAACTCTCTCTGTAACCCATGTTGGCCTCAAACTTTTGGTGCCCCAAGCTCCTAATGCTGGGATCACAGGTGGGTAATACCACACTTGACTTTATATGTTACATTTTAAATGTGTCCTCTGATTCTATTTTAAAGAATTTTTCTCATTTTGTAGAAATAGATTCTCAGCTCTTAGAGGATATTATTAGTAGTTGTTTTAGATTTTAAATGTATATTACCATTTTTTTATTTAGAGGTCCTTGCTTAATGTTTACAAAAACTTGATACTCTCCTTTATTTTTTTTCTTTTTAATACTGAGGAATGAAGCCTGGGCCTCATGCATACTAAACAGATGCTCTACCACTGAGCTGCATCCCAATCCTTAAAACTTTATCTTGGCAAAATGTTACAGGATCATAATGCTGCAGCTGTTTTGGAGGGTATCTGAATTTTGTTATTTAAAAACAAAAAGCAGAATTTAACATTTTCTTTTGAAAACAGATTTTCTTCCTTAACTTACTTTCTCTAAATAAATAATCTTTTGCTCCCCTCTTAATTAACAGACCATCAATACTGTCTCGGAAGTCATTCGTGGCTGCCAAGTAAACCAAGACTACTTTGCCTCTGTGAATGCACCTTCGAACCCACCCAGGTAGGGAAGGGAGCTCAGGACTCTTCTCAATGGGAGAAGCTTAGTTTGGGCTGGGAATATGCAAACAGCTTGCTCCAGTTCATTTTTATGTGTGAAACTGGGAATTATCTGGTATTTGAAAGGTCTGGTCTTTGGAGTTTAAACATGGGGTGCAGATGTCACCTTCCACTGCACTGACCTGGCTAGACGGGGTGTCATGTCTCCTTGTGGGTCCCAAGTGAACCACATCCTCGCTGAAGGGGGAGGTCGTAACATGCTGGTTGTGTGGCCATGACTCAGGAGCCAGCAAAGGCACAGCTGTTTGAGTCTTTGGGTTGCGTTGCTTTATTTTCCTCCATTTCTGTAAATGCTGCAGACCGGCCATCGTGGTGCTCCTGATGTCCATGGTAAATGAAAGGCAACCGTTTGTGCTGCGCTGCGCTGTTCTCTATTGTTTCCAGTGCTTCTTATACAAAAACCAAAAAGGACAAGGAGAAATTGTATCAACACTTCTGCCTTCCACTATTGATGGTAAATCATTTAATCCTGGTTTATGTTTTAAAAAGTAAATAATTATCTTTCAAGCTTTTGATTAAATCTTTGTCTCTGTGCCCCAAATTTTATACTTTATATGCTTATTAAAAAATCTCAGTTCCTTGGCATAATGATAAATTTACACAACAGTCTTTGGAGTCATGCCAGAGTTCCTGCTGTGGAAATTTCATTGTGATACTCATCTGTGTGTGGGGATAATATGTCATTAGGAAATTGTGAAAATAAAGCAGTTACATATTTAAAATCTTACCCTAATACCAGACATAAGGTAATCACAGGACAGACAAAAGCTGCGCTGCAGTGGTCATGCTGAAGACGAACCCTGGAGTGTGTGAAATCACACGTGATAGCTTAGTTTGTTGCTGCTGTAGATTTAGAGCCATTGTTCTTTTTATGAATTCTTAAAGTATTACAGTTTCAGTTTTTATAAGAATTATTTCAGTCTGCTGGTCTATTGAAAGAAACAGTTAATGCTTAAACTTTCTTTTTTAATTTTTAGTGAAATTCTGTATTGTAATGTTTCTTAGATTATTTTTTATTCTTTAAATTTTTTAAAAAAATTATCTGAGATGAAGTTTTTAATATGTACCTTTGTTAACTGTAAGCTTTAAATGCTTTTGGAATTGATAAGTAGAGTTCACTTTAATGATACAAGTTGGGGGGGGCTTGAAAATTATTACCAAGAAGATTATTTGCTGTAAGTGAAAGGAAGACCCTGGATGTAGAATTTCTTTAGCATTTGTTTTAGAAATGTTGTTTTCAATTAAGGTAATATATTTACTGTTAGCATCATCAACTTGATATGTAAGGTATTAAATTTCTTTGCTATTTTAATTATAAAATAGCTCTCTTGTTTTGTAAGGCAGACTTCTATTGTTTTGAAAATGTTACTTAATGATAATAAATATTTACATAGTATTTAGTAATACATTATTTGCTGTAGAAAACGATTTGAAATATTTTTGTGTTAAATCTTTGTTGATTTCCATTGTCAAAACCTAACTTACTATTGTATTATCATCTGGCTGTCATCTTTGCAGCAACAGGGAACTCCGTTTCGGCTGGTCAGCTGTTGTGTGGAGGTTTGTTTTCTACTGATTCCCTCTCAAACTGGTGTGCTGCAGTGGCCCTTGCCCATGCTTTACAAGAAAATGCTACCCAGAAGGAACAGTTGCTCAGGGTTCAGCTTGCGACGAGCATCGGCAACCCGCCCGTCTCCCTCCTACAGCAGTGCACCAACATCCTGGCGCAGGTGAGCACTGCACAGGTTTCTGGAGGGCCAGGTGTTCCGGCTAGAGGGCTGAGAGTGGGGAATACAAGGAGCATGCAGACGAAAGAGAAAGCACTTCTCTTTGTATTGTTTAATTATAACTAGCAACTTTTTGTGGAGTGGGAGCAATAGGTATTCTTATAGCCATAATTTGTGCAGATAGTTATAAGATCTATATCATGAAGACACAACTTTTGGGTAGAAAAGTATATTACAATTTTTGATTTTTAAAAAAATCAGTGTCCTTGCATGTCATTTTCATCATAACTCAGTTCATTTATAAGAAAAGGGAAAAATGATGCAGGTCATTTCTACCTACTTCCTGTCTCTTCCTCAGGCAGGTGATGGTACAGAAGCACAACTGCAGCAGTAGTGCCCTGGAGGGGTAGTATAGCACAGATGTAGTTATAGAATTCTGTCTTTCTGAGTTCCCAGTCCTCATGTTCTTAGTGCATTTAACTACCTGGTAAAATGCAGAAAAGTATAAGTAAACCTCTTTGCACACAAAGTCTCATTGAGGTGTGGGTGTTGGACATGTGGGAGTGTCACTTACTGTGCGACTTGCTCCACACTCTATCCTTACTGTGGAACAGTTCAGGTACATGCTTTGGCAAACTGTAAAGTCACAGACAATCACAGTCACTTGGGAGGTTAAAATGTGGGTTAGTCTGATACAGCCATGTCCATATGATCTAGCAGCAAGATTATCCAACCCACTACCCCAATGATAATGCGCTGTCTCCTTTGTGCTATCTTCTTTAGTATGTAATTTTGCCACATGTTGATTTTTACCCTATTTGAACTTTATTTTTCCTTTTTCTGTGATGCTGGGGATTGAGCCCGTTATGCATGCCAAGCATGCACTGTGCCACTGAGCTACACCCCTGATCCCGGGTCCTTACTTTGAGCTTTTAAAGAAACATCAGTGCCATCCGTAGAAGTTACAGATGAAAGCTTAAAAAGTAATTACATTGAACAGTGAGTTGAATGCTGCTTACATTGATTTACTCTAGCTGCAAACTTATACCTTAGTGATTGAAAAAGCTATGCCAATTTGTCATATCTTTACTTATTTAATACTTGGCATTCTTATGTTGGTCTGTTGAAAGCAAGTTTCTTACAGCCAACCAGCAGTTCTTGGTCTGAGCACCACTACTACAGCACAGAGTATGTTAATGTCATAGGGACAGCGGGTGTGTAAGCAGAGTCACGGTGGTGTAGTTACCCTGTGTCCTCTAAGATGCTCATCTTTGTACAGTAAAAGGTAGGAACTGGCCTATCCTGTCCCAGATTACTGTTTTCGATGTGGAAGTGGGCCTGTGAGTGTTTGAGGGATTTTCTAGAGTTGGATTTTTCTAAAGTAGTAGTGCTTATGAGTAATTGTTGATGTATGATTTGCAGGGTGATAAGATCGACAGACGGGTATGTATTGCTTGTCCAAGCCTAGGCCTTTTCCTCTCACAGAGGGCTTTTTCTCTGTCTTGGGTTTTGCTGATTGTTTTTTAACTGCTTGTTTGAAGTTACATTCTACTCACGTTTTCATGTGTAAGCGTATCTCTGTCCTAAACGGCTGTCCGGTTTTCCCGTGGGATTTGCAGTGGTGTTGCTAAGCACTTGGGGATGAGGATCTAAAGCTGCGAACTTGTGCTTCCTCCTGGGGTGCTTGTACTCTCTGGATTCCTTGGTTTTGTTTTTTTGTTTGTTTTCCACCAAGCTTGCTTTCTCTGAAACTATTTTAAAGGAAGTAAAATTTAGGGTTAAGAATTTTGTCTATGATAGTTAATAAGGATAGGAGGGGTTGTGTGACTTTTCTATTAAAGTGTTTCAAATGTCCCATAGTAAGTTTAATTTTTGTAATTTAAAAGTTTTAAATATTATGGACTATGCTTGATATAGTCCATATGCTGTAATTACCATTGGGCGATTGATTTTTGCTGTGTTAGGGGAGAGTATTATTTGTATTTGATTTGGTTTTTGGTTTTTTTGTTTGTTTGTTTTGGTGCACTCAGCAAAAATGCATGTCTCTTAATTCCCATGTTATACTGAGGCATATTTCATTGTTCAGTATGGGAGGTATATGTGTTCCTGTTAGGAAGTGTATCTTCATGTATGAATACACATTTCATCACCCAAGAAACTTAGCATCCTCATTCTTAAGAAGGCTCCATCCCCAGAGGGCACCATTAGAGAAGGAATTGGATCATACTATGCTAGAATCTCATTTTAGTGTTTTCAAACCAGAAGTTTAAATAATTAACTGGAAGTTTAAAGTGTTAGCTTTTTATGTTTTTATTTACAGTATGAAGTATTAAATTTGACATATTAGGAATGAGAGGGATTTTATTTTAAAAAGTAAATGAATAAAACAGTAGTTTATATTGTATATTAGATGTTTCAGCCTCAAGTATTTTATTTATGGTTTTCTTTCATCCTGTAAAACCTATGGTTTCTAATAATTAAACCCTCAATGCTCTCAAATTATAGTTTCAATCTCCCCCCCTTTTTTTTTTTTTTTCAAATTTCCCTTGTGGTTCACATACCCCCAAGATGGGGAGGGTACTTGCTATTCTTTGGTTACTTTGCAGTTACAAATTTTAACCTTTGTATTTCGTGAGTCACAGATAGTTTTTCTTGGTGTGTGTGTCATATGTCTTTGATTTGAGTGTTCTCTCAGATGTTTTTAATGGTTTCTACATTTTAAGTCATACTTCCTACTTTCAAATTTTAAGAATTATACAGTAGTTTCATCCCATGATTTTCATTTTTCGTTGTTTAATTCTTAATTTTCTCAACAAACCATATAAGATACAGATCCACTGATTGTTTTTCTAGATAGCTATTTAGTTGAACAAAGCTGTTGTTACATTTCAGTTGTATTTACTTTTAAGGCCGGAGTAGCTGAGACTGTAAGCATGTACTACCTTGCTGAGCTACCCTAACAGTTTTTAATGTCCATCTATAATATGTTGATGTTTATGTGGTGTCATTTATTTGTAACATTCTGATGTTCATATATTTTTTTCATACACTAAATTCCCATTTTATAAATGAGTCCATTTATCCTGTTCATCTTTTTTACAGTATCCTTATTTTCTGATTTTCTCTATGATTTTGATTGTCATATTGTTTGGTTCTAAGAAAAAATGAAAAATTTGGAGGGATAAGGATATATCTCAGTGGTAAAGAGTATGCTTAGCAAGTAGATGCAAGGCCCTGGGTGTAATGCCTAACACACACACACACACACACACACACACACACACACACACACACGTACACACGTGCACATAGAGAAAGCCAATAGAAAACTAAAAGCTTTTGGAATTTTCATCTGGGTTATTTTTGTGTGTGCAAAATGATTCTTTATGTAGTATAGTTGGTAGCTACAAATGGTTGTTCTAAGCAATAAGATATTTTTATATAACCAGGCAGTCAATAAGACTAGTTTTTAATTTTTATCTGTAAGTTTTCTATAGCACATAGTTATGAAAGATAGTATAGCTAGACATGGTGATACATACCTGTAATCCCAGCAATGAGGAAGCTGAAAGGGGGAGGCTGAGGCAGGAGGATTGCCTGGAGGTTTTGGACTACTCAGTGAGACCCTGCCTTTAAAAAAAAAAAAGCAAAACCAACCAAGAATGACTGTATATCTTTTTTCAGTTTGCAAGAGTACATGAAGACATACTGTTTGCATAGTAACAACATAGAGGCAAGGAAAAAGCAAAAGTGAATGCATCATGTGAAAGCTGAATTCATGTTAAAGTTTACATAGTAAATCATTTGAAGGAATCCAGTGTGAATTTATTCAGTATTAAGTATACCTGAAAATAGGTTATGGAAAGAAGATATTGCTATCAAGTTTTGTGAAATTTGTCTGTCTGGTAGAAATCTTTTAAAATGTGATGATAAAGTCATTGGTTGTATAGATCTTTAAATAGTAGTATTTGGTATTTCCCAAAAAGTTGCCCCAAGTTGACATGTTACTATCCTGATTTTTATTATACTGTATTATTTCAAACAATGTTTGTTTATCCTGAAAAAAAAATATATGGACAGAGGCAGTGTTACGAATTAAGAGAATATTCCATATGGGGGCATAAATATGTTTATGTTTTATATGTTTATATTTACATTGAAATTAAAACTACAATTTTGCTAGACATAATAATTTCCAGTATTTTTAATTGTGTTAGACAACAGAATAGTATGATTTAACAAGTTTAGGATTTTTTTTTCCCTTGTTTGTGATTTCACATTATCTAGCTTGTCACTGAGTTTGTAGCATTGCTTTCTAATTTTCTTATTTGAGAGTATGTTCTCATGGAATTTGACCAAATGGTTCAGGAGATTTTTTTAATGAAGCTTACATTTATTTATTTATTTATTTATTTATTTATTTATTTTCAATCATGAGCTTGTTTTACACATTTTGGTATACAAGTGTATTTCATTTATCTTAATAGGGTTAGCTCTTTTTGAAGCCTCCATATCATGTTTATCTAATTAAACCTTCAGCCTTTTTCTACTAATAGTCTTTTAAATAATCCAGTGCATGCTTACAAACATGAATCAGTTCTCATTTCTGCACTGTTTGATTTTGGGAAGTATGGCCTGGGGCAGATATGAGAATGTATTCTCTTGTTCCATTTTTTAAGTTGGGCTTCCTGACACATTTCTCATAGGTAATGTTAACATTCTTTTCATGCAAATATGAAGGGATCTTAGGGCACCTTTAACTTTTAAAAATATAAAGTGAATGGAAGGAAATTTCTGCCAACTTATCTATTGCAGGGAAGCAAAATACAGACAAGAGTTGGACTGTTAATGTTGCTTTGCACCTGGTTAAGCAACTGTCCCATTGCAGTGACACATTTCCTACACAATACGGCCAATGTTCCATTTGTATCCTTCATATTTTAGTAATGTACATATAAGCATCGTCTTTTATCACCTCGGTTTCTTTTCTAATTAGTAGTAGTTCTAGGCCCAAAATGTTGATTTCTCTACCATTTTCTTTGTGTTGCAGCTTTTTATGTTATTATGGTTATTGTGATACTCCCTTAAGTGCTGTGTGTGTGTGTGTGTGTGTGTGTGTGAGAGAGAGAGAGAGAGAGAGAGAGAGAGAGAGAGAGAGATACATGATGCATGATGCTGGCTTGGAATACTAACAGAATTTATTGTAGGAAATCTTACATTAAATATATGTTACCATCAAATTACAAAATGAAGTATTCCAGATGTTTTGAATCATTGACCTCCTTAACAAAGATTTAAGCTTACAGGACAGATTGCAGAAAATCTTGGGGAAGAAGAGCAGTTGGTACAAGGCTTATGTGCTCTTCTGCTGGGCATTTCAATATACTTCAATGATAACTCGCTTGAGGCCTACCTAAAGTAAGTAAGGGCAGAACGACTAGGGGCACCTAGAGGGGGCATATTTTCCTCACTGAAGTAAAATGAAGTCAAACTGTTATGTTCTGTTAGGCTTTTGTGGTTTTTTTTTAACCATCTATCTATGTTTGTCTCCAGAGAGAAACTAAAGCAACTAATAGAGAAGAGGATTGGCAAAGAGAATTTCATAGAGAAGCTAGGATTTATTAGCAAACATGAATTATACTCTCGAGCATCACAGAAACCCCAGCCAAACTTTCCCAGTCCAGAATACATGATATTTGATCATGAATTCACAAAGCTGGTGAAGGAGCTTGAAGGTAAGGCAAGAAAGTTCATGCTGATGCTCATTAAAAACCAGCTGTGGGTACGTGGAGATTCTATCATGACCCTAATCATAAATTTCCCCCTGCTCAGTCTGTAGCCCATTGAGAACCTGTTTTTACTCATTAAGTCTTAATAATAAAATATTTTAAATGTTTAAAGTGGCTGGGAGATAGCTCAGTGGCATAGCATGTGCTTAGCAAGCTTAAGGCTTTGGATTTGATACTCAGAACTACAAAACAAATTTAAAACACATTTTAGGGGCTGGGGAGATGGCTCAGTGGAATAAGCGCTTTCCTGGCAAGCACAAGGGCCTGAGTTCAATCCTGGTTCCACCAAAAAAACCAAAAAAAAAAAAACCAAAAAAATTTAAATAAGCTTTCTTTTATAGGTGTTATAACTAAGGCTATTTATAAGTCCAGTGAGGAAGATAAAAAAGAAGAAGAGGTAAAGAAAACACTAGAACAGCATGACAGTATCGTGACTCACTACAAAAATATGATTCGAGAGCAAGTAAGTACTAATGAATGCACTTTTATTGGTAGGTGTATTTTACTTTAAGGAAAAACTTTTCCGTGCATTTCAAATGAAAGGGTGCTGGGACCAGGGAGATGGCTCAGTGGAATAAGTGCTTCCCTGGCAAGTGCAAGGGCCTGAGTTCAATACCCGGTTCTGCAAAAAAACACCTCAAATGAAACGCTGCAGAAAGCAAAACTTACTGTGTTCAAAATCATCTGAATATTCAACAGATTGAGTACTTAATATGTGCTGAGTGCTGTGCAAGATGCTGTGGATAAGAATGTGAGCAAGCCGGGCTCCCATTTCAGTTCCAGGGGAGACAACCCTATAAATGACTGTGGCATGATGGGTGTGATTGAAAAAGATGGTGAAGATTGGGATGTAGCTCAGTGGCACAGTGCCTGCCTGGCAAACACAAGGTCTTGAGTTTGAATTCTCAGTACAAAAAAAAAAAAAAAAAATGATGGTGAATGCTTATTGTACAATGTGTTGCAGTAAAAGCCACTTTGCCATTAACCTTCCTCAGGGTCATCTCCCTCATTGCAAACACACTATCATTCTTGCCAAGTTCTGAAACAGTCCCAGAAGTCTTCCTCTGTTTAGTTAACTAACCCTGTTGTGGCTGCCTTCGTGTCCTGAATTGATTCAGAAACATTTCTCTCTTACGGTCATTTTGGCTTGAAGGAAAAGGCAGAAGCTGCGTGGTGTCAGACGCGGTGGGTACGTCAGAAGAGTACGTGCTGCTGTGGTTTCACAACCCACCTTACTTTTGGATGACATTCAGCAGCAGTAGTCACTGTAGTTTTGTTTTAGGTGGGTTTTTTTTTGTCTTTTTGAGACAGGGTCTCATTATACAGTTCAGGCTGGCCTTTATAGCACAGGCCGGTCTCCAACTTGAAAGGATCCTCCTGCCGCAAGGTTGGAGGTTGAAAGGTTCTGGGATTACAAAGTGTAATGATGGGATAAGTGTTTGAAGCCTGGAGCAGGATTTTGAGGGGATTAGTGGCAGTGTGGCTTTTACTGTAACTTATATTTAAGCATTCCCATATATTTTGGCCACCTAACACATATAGCAGAGTAGGTCTAGTGACAGTGATAACCAAAGATACTGCAGCAATTATTTCCTTGGTACAAATATTGAGGGAGGCACCTGGTGTACTTAGGAGCAGGGGATTGTGGAGAGTACAAACAGCTCTGGAGGGATGAGTGGGATAAGCTGTGCCAAAGAGCACAGAGGACGAGAAGGGAGCCAGCACACAGCATGAGTCTGGTGGTGGTGGTGGTGGTGCTGGCGGGTACATAGGGTACTCTCCTGCCTGGGTAAGGAAGGAACTTGACGGGCAAGTCTAGAGCAGGAAACCAAGGCTGAGGCTTTGTGGTAGCAAGGGGCGGACTTTGGCAGTGATGGTAACAAGGGTGGTGAGAGTAGCTCCTTGCCTTAGTTCACTGTATTCTTGAATTATCAAGCTACCCCTGTGTGTTGGTCTGTGTCTTGGTACAAATATAGTCATTTCCAGTTGATAAATGTGAGCTTTGGAGCCATGGAAATTAAGTACTACCTTAGAGGTGATAAAGTAGCCTATGCTTGGGTAATAAATACAGCTGATTTAGAGGGAGAGCAGTGATTGGACATAATTACTATAATGACTTACCTTTAAAAATGAGTTTATGTATTTTTACCACTTAAAATGCTACTTAACTGTAGGCAAAAGGATTTGGAGCCATAAAATGTATGTTTTGAGAGACATTTGAGAATTCATTGTATGCTCCAAAATTTAGGAAAACAGGGAATAAGCTATTTATTGTAATGATTCTTATCTTGAAAAATAGCAGCTTTAAGGTTAAAAACAATTAATGTAGTTTATATGATCTACTTGATTAGATACAAACATTAAAAGTTATGATCATAAAAACTGCTTGGAAGTATGGACAACTTATGGTCAGAATAGTGAGTAAATTAAATGTGAACAAAATTATATATAGATTGATTCTGACAAATTTTAAAAATGTGGGGTAGAAAAAATTAAAGGGAAATAAAGACATGAAATTTTATATTACAGTGGTGAAAATTGAAAACATTTTTTTCAACCTTCAGTGCTTTGTGATTATCTTGATCTATGATTGCTTCATTGTTGAAAATAATACTGATGCATATATTGTCCTAAGTAGTAGGATATGGATTTTTTAAATAGCTGATGGCCAGAAAATAGAGGCCATAGGCTGTGTTCCATGGTATTTATTATTGGGATCTGCTGATTGATTTCTCACAGTTCTGCTGCAGGTCGATTGGCTTTGGTGCATATATTCATACATTCCTTCCTAGTTATTGAATGATTTTGGCAGTGTTGAGTACTTTTTACAGTGACCCCTACTAACCTCTACATTTTTAATGGTTCATCTGCTTAATGCCGATTACTATGAATTTAAAATACTCAAATGATGTTTTGTTTCACAGGATCTGCAACTAGAGGAACTGAAGCGCCAGGTTTCAACATTAACATGTCAGAACGAACAGTTGCAGACGGCAGTCACCCAGCAAGCTTCTCAGATTCAGCAGCAGAAGGATCAGTACAACCTTCTCAAAGTGCAGCGGGGTAGGCTGTGCTGCTCCCTGGTGTTGGTGCCTGGCAATGCTCCGGGGACAAGTCGCATTCTTTTTGTGGGCTTATTGTGACAAATGTATAAAGCAGAGTTCAAAGCAGAACAGTTTTTAGATACAGGAACCAACTCCCTGCAATGAAGCAGTGTGGCACACAGTATTAATAAAACTAAAAGATTTTAAAAATGGTTTGGTAGCTAAGAGAAATTAAGGTTGATTTTTAAATTTGAGTCGAAGCACCTTGCTTCCTGCTTGATTATCTGACTCATTTGTGTTGGCCCTGACTGATCCCCCACCTGAGCTTCTGATTTAGTCTGAGGTTGGTGTGGGAATCAGTAACTCTTACAGGCTCCCCTAGTGACTACAGTATGTAGCCAGCTGACAGTGATCTCATCTTTCAGTTTCCTCATCTGCAAAATGGAGCTAATATCCATGTCTTCTGAGCATTAGATGAAGTAATCCATATAAATTGTAGTTCCATCCCTGGCAAATAGTAAGATTACGTTTGTAAATAAGTATCTTTCTATATAGCTAGTAATGATTGGAATGTTGGTTACTAAGAAATACAGTATTTGTTTTATTTATATCAGGGTGACAGGATTCTTCCTTTATGCTAATATTTTGTCAGTTTAGCACAAAGCTACTTCTTTGTGAGAGGAATTTTATTTTCTCTCACAATCACAGAGAGAGAGCCAGGGAGATAGCTCAGTGGCATAAGCGCCTACCTAACAAGCACAAGGTCCTGAGTTTGATCTTCAGTACCAAAAAATCCCCAGTCACTGAGAGAACTGGAATTGACACTGTTATAATTAATTATAGAGCATGAGCCACCCAGTTTAGCTAAGGCCATGCTGATTTCCTCTCAGAAATGCTAGAAAGTGGGTTAGTTCACGTTTTTTGAAGACAGAGTTAAGATGAAACATGTTTGCAAAAGTGCTGCCAAAATAATTGAGCTAGGAGGGATCTACTTGAATCTTACATACGAGTTTTCTTATTCAAGAATTAAGATCTTGTGAATTAAAGTGCCTGTAAGCAGGTGCAGGGGCTGGGAGTAAGATCTCTGGGCCTGCCAAGTTGGCCCCGCGCCCAGGGTTCACTGAGATAGCAATTAAGACTGGGCCTGGTGGTGCACACCTGTAATCCCAGCTCTTGGGAGGCTGTAAACAGGCGGATCACCACCAGTCCGATCTAGTAGTCAGACCCTCAACACCCTGTAGAACCTTCCCTAAAAGAATACCAAAAAAAAAAGGAATTAAGATCTTAAGTTTGGTATTGGCTTTCACATTTTATGCATATCTAACAGGAAAAGACAATCAGCACCAAGGTTCTGCCAGTGATGGGGCTCAGGTGAATGGAGTTCAGCCAGAAGAAATTAGTAGACTGAGAGAGGAGATAGAGGAATTAAAAAGTAATCAGGAACTTTTACAAAGCCAGCTGGCTGAAAAAGACTCTTTGATTGAAAATTTGGTAAGTAAGTGCTAAAACATGTGTAATCCTCATTGTATTGTTTTTCTATTATATTTTTGTTTGATTATTGTTTTGGGGATGTTGATGATGGAAGCCAGCGCCCTGACCTTGCTGAGCAAGCTCTCTGCTTGTAGCTGCATTGCAGCCCAGTTGTTCTGCTGGAGCGCACAGGCCAGGGAAAAGCATAGATTAAATCCTAGAGTATGAGCTTTGGAGTTAGCTGTCTAGCCTTTAATGTAATGCATCCTAGCTACCTGCATTCAGACGCTGTAGAAGACCTCTGTAAACCTGGGTCATGTACAGTAGTTGGGTGGTGTCTGCCTCGTTGTTATGAGTCTTAATTGAGATGCTCGTTCGTATATGGAAATGGCTTAGTAAATACTGGCTTTCTGCTGAAGTTTAATACATTTCTTAGAATAACTGTAAATTAACTGTGGAGAAGTGGTAGATAATACATGCCATTTTGAAATTTTATCTTGCATATAAAAATTAAAATGCTGATTTGAAAGTTTATGGTAATACCCATAAAATATAGTTAACATATGTATAGTTGTGCTCTGGTGTTACACCTTCTCTGTAGACTGACTTTATTTCACGGTTTATTTCTGTCTTACCTCCAGAAGTCATCCAATGCTGCTTCTAGTGTGCACGAACCCTCTGCAACAGCTAGAGACAGTGAACCAGTTGTAGAATTAAAGCAGGTAATTTTCCAGCTTGATCTGTACTGTGTAGTCTTGTTTTAATTACAGTAGAGAGAGCAGCACCCCTACAGTTTCATTAATCTGGAACTATTTTTTTATAAGCTGCAAATATGAAGATATAAATCTTTTTTTTTTTTTTTTTTTTGAACCAGGAATTGAACTCATGCCCTTGCACTTGCCAGGCAAGCACTTATTCTACTGAGCTATCTCCCAGGCCCTGAAGATACAAATATTGTGCCTAATTTTTCTACACTGGAATACTTGCTTGACCAAATATAAACATTTTTATACAAAAAATGGTTGAATTTTAGAATTAGAGGGCTGACCATATAGCTCAGTATTTGATTAAAGTGCCTGCTTAGGCAGACACAGTGGCCAGGGTTTGATCCCCAGCTTGCTGTGCTGGCCCTGCCCCTAGGGCATGCTGAGATGGTGATTGAGACTGGGGGTGGTAGCACATGCCTGTATCCCAGCTCTTTGGGAGGCAGAAAACAGGAGAATCACTACCAGTCCGATCTACATAGTGAGATCCTGTACACCCTATAGACTCTTACTAAAATACAAAAAAAAAAAAAAAAAAAAAAGAGAAAAGGGTAAACTTTTTATCTTTTTAAAAATTAATTTTATTGAGAAACAAATGAGACAGTTTCCAAACTGATTAGTAGGACAGTTTCAATAATTAATACATTGCATATTGTTGTCTTCATAGTGGTTATTCATAGCATAAGGTGCAGACATGATATCCTGTTCAAACACTATTAGTACAAATCTTCCTTCTCATTGAATTAAGAGAAAGTAGCTGTGTATCTATCCTATTTTGTATATACAGGTACTAAATGATCTTTCTTTTGTATCCCCTCCCTTTTTTTTTGTTTAGTTTTGTCAGAGATGGGTATTCCATTGCCATTTAAATATTGTAGGTGTGTGAATTCAGCAAAATAATCCAATATAGGCCAGTAGTCCATAATATTAGTGGGTTATCTGTAGGACTATCAATGTCAGAAGTTGTTGACTTGAGCCTTTTACAGCTCAGCATATTAATATGGCTTTACTTTTTATACCTCGCTTTTATACTGTAAAAAAATATTTATTTATTTGGTATAGGGTTTCACTGTGCAGCTCAGCCTTCCCAGTGCTAGGATTATAGGTGTATGCCACCATGCCTGGTGTAGGTGGCCAGCTTGGTGCAGGACTGGCATGTGATCCTGGGGATTGGACCTGGGTCCTTGTACTTGCCAGGCAGGCACTTAGACTTCCAAGGTACCTCTCCAGGCTCAGAAAAGGGTAAACTTTTTATAATTCTCAGTGGGACGGCTACAACTGAAAAAACAGAGTATGTTTTTCTGCTCAGTTAATTTGTAATACTGATAAATTCTTGTTCAACTAGATAGTACAGATTTATCTCTATCCAATCAGAAAATTAAATGTATTCATTCATAAACAGAACCAGAGGGACCAGGGAGATAGCTCAGTAGAATAAGTGCTAAGGTCTAGAGTTCAGTCCCTGGTACCGCAAAAAAAAAAACCAGAAAAGAGAAAAAGGAACTGTCTTGATGTAGAATTAAATAATGTACTAATTGGAAGAAAAACCTACAAAAGCCTCTTGTTGTTATCCCAAAACAGGTTCTGATTTTATGTTGTTGATATTTCCTGTTCCCTTCTTTCTCTTTTTGTCCCATCTTCTCTTCCTTATTATAAAAGTGATGCATGTTTATTTAAAGGGAAAAGTTTTTCCAAACAATATTAATGCAACCTGCCCAGGGCTGGTTTCTTTCTGCCTGTCGTTGTTGGCTACCCCAATGAGACACTGGAGCTTGGTAGACAGATTGTGCCTTGATAGATTGGTTGATTGATTGATTGATTGATTGATTCATTCATTCATTCTTTTGTTCATTTTTTCAATGGTATCAGTGTTTATTAGAAAAAAGTAAAACTGACATGTGAAGGAAACACTGGCTTTGCAGAGTGAGCTTGGGCAAGTAAAAGTGGAAAAGGGAAGATAAAAGTACACGTTGGAGGACACCTGGTGGGATATTGTAAGGCAAGCCAGGATAGCGAGCTTTTCCTAGCATCTGTGTCCTTTTCTGCCATCCATATCTTGAAACCTGAGAGAACTTCTGCACACAGGTTCTGAAAGGCAGTGCTGGGACCCCACACATCAGGCTGACATCAGGTCCAGGTATCCTATAACCTGCTTGCGTTCTCACTCAAGTCCATATGCAGGGCTTTGCTGAGCATCTGTTCCCAATCCTGTGGTGAACAGGTCACACCTACTTCCCCAGCCAACTGTGCCATACCCTACTCTTTTGTCTCATTCACACCCAGAGATACAAATTCCCATAACTCTTTATGGGGTGCTGAGGGAGTGGAAGGCTTTGTCCTCTATAACTTCAAACTGGAAGAGGCTATAGACCCTACCTCCTGGGGATTATGTGCTCTCCAAGTACCTCAGGGTACTGTAGCTCACTAGCTGAACTGAAGGAAAAAAAAACTTGTCAGATGATAAGAGAGAGGCTGAAGCTAGAGGACCTATTCAAGTTGGAGGCAAGCCTAGGTTACAAGTTCAGGGGCCGCCTGAACTACATACTGAGATGCTGTCTCAAGACACGGACAGGAAGAAGACAGACAGACAAAGGAAGACAGAGATAGGAGCAAATGACCACTGAGCTGCCTGTTGACAGGAGGATAAAACTTCATGTATTAGCCAAATGTGAGGAACAGGTCAGATTTCTGTGCATCCTGTAGCAGCACTGGAGTCTTGGTTTTGAGAAGAAATCTCATCTTCCAGAGGCTCACAGGAATAGCTTTCTCCTTCTAGGTGATCTTGTTTTCAGACAGTTCAAGTGGGAAGGCTTTATTCTAGAAGGATGAATCTGATGATCTAGTCCTGCCAACTTTATTGCAGTGAGTGTGGCGAGGATCACTGAGAAGGAGCCCTTCCATTTTGGCTTTAATTGATCGGCAAGTGTCCCCTTAATAAAAGTTTGTATGGGCCCTGGGCCTCCAGGACAGAGTGGGTGGTCATCGTGTCCCAGGAGCTGGCAGGATTCTGTTCCTATACATTTAGACAGCCTTGTATACTTGGCTTTGATTAGATATAAGATCCTCGAGGTCTCCGGGTCCTCCTACCATAGAGGACAGAGATGACCTTGTGTATAACATATCAATGGGCTCAAACTTAGCCCAGTTTTGGGCCTGCTGTGAACCTCATGAGTGCCATTTATAGCATTGAAGCCAGTTTTACGATGTCTCTTGGCAAAGTTTTACCAGAACTCACTTTAGAGTCTGATTGTCTCCCACTACCTTTCCAGGAGATTGAGTCTAGACTGGAATGGAAGCCTTTGCTATTCTGAGGTATTTGGGAGGTATAAGAATATCCATTGTCACTCTAGAGAGACTGGGGGATCCAAATCTAGGGATGATTTCCTTAAGAAGCACCTTGAGTGTGCTGGTAGGCTTTTTGGATAGCTCACAATATCACTGTTTATATAATTAATTTTGATAAGTTAAAAATGAAACAAAAGCCCTATGTATCAGATAGAAATTTGGAGAATAGAAGAAAGGACTTTTTGATCACTTCGGCTCACCCCCTGCTCCTTCCTCAGACACTGCCAGGCCCGCAGAACAAGCAGCCCAGGTCAGGACCACCATGCTTACTGCTTTTCTTTCTGCACTGCTCCCTCCAGTCTGTGCAGCCAGCAGAGAACAGTAGCCGCGTTTATGTGCTTAGGTTGGGAGCTGATGGCCTGCGGCGTTTGACCCCTTGCTCACCTCTTCCAGAGGACTCTGGAGTGCGAGGTCTGGGCCCTTGGGTCGGTATGGACTCTTTGTAAGTCACGTCCCAGTTCAGCTTCCACGGTGTTGCCTGGGTTACAACTTCCTGGGAGCACTGTGAGTTGCGCTGTTCTTACTCTCCGCCCTCACACCTGCCACCTGCCTCTCCTTCCCCTCCTCCCTTAGGATTATTTTGCATGGCATTCCAGGATGGGGCAGAGGTAAGTGAGTGTGGACACCAGAGTTAAATAATTATTTTTTCATTAGCGTTTAAAAATTGCAAGTTAAGACTTTAGACAATAAAGTGAAAAGAAGTGAGTTCTGTTTTCCTGAAACCAGACATTTCCTTAATATAGTATAAAAGTAATATAGTCAGTGTTACAGTTCTAACCTTTTGTCCCTCAGGAAATGGCAGTGTTGGGCTCAGTTAAGCTCTTCATCTGCAGACCACCAAACTATAGACAGTAAAGCATGAGCAGTTAGAGAAACAGAAGCACTTCCTAAATTAGCCCCCTTCTGAAGGCAGTGAAGGTAACATGGATTGTTATTTATCCACTGCCGTGAACGCTCTTTGGTTTATTCTGCTTCTAATACATCCCATGTCTGTCCCCTTCAGTCTAAGCTGGCAGCATTCCTAAGAATCTTGTCCCCTTCCGTGCAATTCATAAAAGTACCAGCTGTCAGACAGGAAGGCCCAGCATCATCCTCTCATGGACCACCTAGCCTGTTTCTTTCTTTTCTATTTTTTCTTTTTTCTTTTTTGTATTTTAGGGAAGGGTCTACAGGTTGTTTAGGGTCTCACTACTAGATCCGACTTGTAGTGATCCGCCTGTTTACAGACTCCCAAGAGCTGGGATTACAGGCGCATGCCACCATGCCCAGTCTTAATTGCCATCTCAGTGAGCCCCGGGGCAGGGCCAGCATGGAAGGCCTGGGCAGGTGCTTAATCCGATGAGCTATTTGGCCGGCCCTTCACCTAGCCTGTTTCTGCTGGGGTGTTGGATTCCATAGCACACATCTAACTTCATAGACAGCTCTTCAGACAGTATTTTCTCTACAAAGTGTTTTCTCATGTTTTGCAATATTCAGATGGGGAATTTTCCAAATCTTCCTGTTTGGATTACTTTTGCTTAACCGTTTCTTGGTCAGTTTATCTTTTTCTTTTTACATTTTACTATAAGCAATGAGAAAAAAGTTGTATCTCCGTACTTTGTTTAGAAGTCTCAGCTAGACAGCCAGACTTATCACTCGGAAGTCCTACTTTCTACTAAACACTAGAAAGGAATTGGGCAAAGGTCCTTGCTACTTTATACCAAGGTTTGTCCCTCCTCTGGTTTCCAGTGACAGGATTCATTTCTCCCTGAGACTTTGTCAGAGGTAGCTTGAACCCATATTTTGTTCATGAATGTGTGTGGATGTCCAGAGCCACAGAAGTGTCCTACAGCTGGCTTTCCCTTCTCCCTCCCTCCTTTCATTCCTCTCTCCTTTCTTCCCTCTCTTCCTCTTTTTCTTTCCTATACTGGGGATCAAAGTCAGCACCTTGCCAGTCAGTTGCTTATGCTGCTGAGCCATCCCTCCCAAACCCATCCCTTTTTGAGACAGGATCTATGTAGCCAAGGTGGCCTCAAACTCAGGAGGACCTTCCTGCCTCAACCCTCCAAGTACTGGGATTATAGGCATGTACCACTGTGCCTAGCAACAGCTCTGTCTTTTTCAGAGCCCTCAGCAGACTCACCCTGGTGTCTATTTCTTCCCTCATTGTCTTCAGGGTGACTTAGGCTATGTCTCACGTGTTCCTCTAGACTCTTCTGGTTTTTCCCGATTACCCGTCCTCGGCCACTTCTCTGTGTGCAGGTCTGTGCTGCCTGGGCTTTCACTTGCTGGGCTGTGGAGAAGGGCTGGGAAGTCTGGAGGTCGCTCTCCTTCCTGCCTCTGAGGCACATAAGAAGGCCCAGGCCTTGTACCATAGCGGCTTTGAGCCTGATCTCCCTAGCTGGCTGCCTGAGATGTTAGCGTGGATGAAACCTAAGGAATCTGCCAAGGGAAGTTGCTGGGAATGCATCCGTGCCACTCGGGTTGCTGCATTGCCCAGCTGCCTTGTCTGTGATGAAAGTTACAGTTCTACAGAGCTGGGCCCAGCCTTTCTCTGTGCTGTGCCTGTCACCCACCTGGCAGCTGCAGCTTGGTCATCTATAAATATGGTTTTTTTTTCGTTTATTGGAATAGAATTTCAAAACAGCAGAAGACTAAGTCACCACTCTGGGAGTTGTGTTGTCTGTAACTTTAAAAGTATTTTTTTCCAATTTCTACTTTCAGACAAAGTCAGTTCCTGTCCAAGGAGAAAATGAGGCTGTAACGGCGGCCAACACTGCTGAGTTGGAAGGGAGACTATCAGCCCTATTGCAGGAGACGAGGGAGCTGCAGGTGGGCTCTCAGTGAAACTTGTCTGGGGTGTAACAGGAGTTAAACGCCAAGAAATTGATTGTATTTCATTGGATCTCCTAGATCACAGGTTTATGAACAGCACTGACAAGGCATGATTTTATCTTACAGCTTTTCCATTTCTGTTTTGATATTTAAAGATGGCACTAGCTGGGTGTGGCAGTGCACACCTGTAATCTCAGCACTCAGAAGAATGAGGCAGGAGTATTTTGAGGCCAGCCTGAGCTACAGAGTGAGCTCAAGGCCAGCCTGAACTGCACAATGAGACCCTATCTCAGAAAGACAAAAGTAAAAAAATAATGATGGCACAAAGGAAGTTTTATTTATTTTTTTTGGCTTTTAGAGATAGGGTCTCTGTGTAGTTCAGGCTGGCTTGCACTCAGAGCCATCGCCCTGCCTCAGTCTCCCAAAGTAAATAATAGGATTCCAGGTGTGCACCGTTGCACCTTGGTTTACAAAGGGAATTGTAAAATTCTGTGGTAATTCAAATGGAATGGAATATGTAAAATAAGAACTTGTATTCTTGTACTGTGAAAGTATAATGTATTGAAATTCAAGCTTTTATCACCGTCATTATATAATCACACTAACAAAACAAGGGATACAATTTTGCCGAACTTAAGAACCCCAGGTAGGCGTCCCATAAGGCTGAAGAATATAAGGACATTGAAGTCTGTGGTCCGTTGTATGATGGAGACTTCAGAATAATGTGAAGAAGGGAACAGGTGACATTAATAAAAATGAAAAGGGATGAAGTTAAAAAGGAATATGATACGTGATTGTTTTGGGGTCATGGTGAGATTGTTGTTAGTGATGCTGGGGATTGGATCCGGGGATTTTTCACTGATCCACCCCCCCACCTCCTTATGTTCTCCAGATTGCCTGGGCAGAGCTCAAACTCAGAATCCTCCTGCCTCAACTCCAGAGTACTGGGATTGTGTCACATGTTCAACTAGAGAGTATTTCATTCTTAAACGGAATTTTATTTTGAAATAGTTTTCCCCGCCCCCCACAGTGCTGGGGACTAAACCTAGGGCCTCAAATATGCTAGGCATGCTATCAGTGAGCTTATTCCTGAAATCCTTAATTGACCATGTTTTTCCACTTAATTATATGATGAAGTTGTGATTTTTTTTTGTTTAAATTGAGCTTTCTAATTCTGATGCTAACCAGGCACCATTTGTGACATGTTCTATGGGAATGTGCCCTGGGTATAAGTCAAATTTATATTTCTCTGATAATCTGAATTTTACTCTCTTTTTTGATCTCTTGGGGTTTTTGAAAAATAGCTGACTGAGAATAATTTTTGGATGAGTTCTCCTTTTGACATTGCCACTCCAGTGTTCCTAGCCTCACATTTAGGGGCTGTGTGCCAGCAGGCCTCAGCTCCTGGCCCTGAGCATGGTAGACCTGATCAGTGCAGCCATTCCTCATAGAAGAAAAGCTTTTGTTGTGAGTGCTGACTTCACATATTGACTATTCTTTTTCTAGAATGAAGTTAAAGTCTTGTCTGAGGAAAGAACTACCCTCAAAGAGCAGCTGGATTCCTCTAACAGCACCATTGCTATTTTACAAAATGAAAAGGACAAGCTGGAGTTGGAAATTACGGATTCTAAAAAAGAGCAAGATGATCTCCTGGTATTGTTGGCTGATCAAGACCAGAAAATACTGTCATTGAAGAAAAAACTCAAAGATCTTGGTCACCCAGTAAGTTTGAAATGTTTCCACAAGTAATGTATAGTTCGTTTCTTCATAAGGTATTTTTTAAGCTGTTCATTGTGACGCATGCCTGTGATCCCAGCACTCGGGAGGTTGAGGCAGGAGGATTACTGTGAATTTGAGGCCAGTCTGAGCTACACAGTGAGATCAAGCTAGGCTGAACTACACAGTGAGACTTTCCCTCAAAAAAAAAAAAAAGTTCATGTAGCATGGAAAAGTTGAACCTGTATTACAGGTGTAGTTGTGGAGGTCCATGAATGTAGCATCTGCATTTCATTCACTCATGAACCAATTCCAGATGCAGATTCAATTCCATTCCCAGCACTTACAAACTGCGCTTTTGGACCTTGAACCTAGAATGTGAATTTTTGCTCCTGTGATAAACCAGACTCCCATCCTCAGGTGTCCCATTGTCTTTGCCATATTGAGTTCAGATGTGTGTGTAGAGAGCATAATCGCTCATCAGGAAAGGTGACTTAGCTCATTTGTCTTGAAAATGTCAGGAAGCCACAAGCATTAAATCAAGGAAATCAGGTGGCTTATACAGTGTTTGAGCAACAGCTTCCAGCCAGTTCAGCCTGTGCTTGCTTTCCCTGCCTTGGAGAGGAGCTGCCGAGCAGGAGTGCAGCGACGACCCGACCTGTGAGATGGGACTGGCTGGTTGGGGCTGGCGTTTTCGATCTCTAGAGTTTCCAACACTGATTATTTTCTAGCTAGGTCTTATTTTTTGGAAAAGACAGGAGAGCACAGACTTTCTCAACATGCATACTACATGTGAACATACCTGTGGGGATAAAAGTGAGCTAATTTCCTAATGTTAAAAAAAAATTCTATTTTCTCTATAGATTGAAGAAGAAGATGAACTTGAGTCTGGAGACCAAGACGATGAGGATGATGAAAATGAAGATGGCGGCAAAGACTAGGGTCTCACTGTTTAGCGTTAGGTTCTCCAGGCATGGCGGCATTTATGTCATGACTCTGGAGATGGAATTTTCAGCCAGTGTTCAGTTTGCCTCCACAGAAAATAAAGATTTAGATACCAAGTGGAACACATTTACTAAGAAAATTGGCATATTTTTTAAAATATTGCCATCCTTGTTAAAAACCCTAAAACTAACTTTATACAGAACGTGTTTTATTTAATTTTGTCTGAACTGTCCCAGAATATAATTTGCAGAACCCAAGACCATGAAACAGCAGCATTGTAAACACATGTTGCCAGCAATGTTTGCTTCATTGGGTCTCTGGTGGTTCACTCTCGAGGCTTTGTGACTCTCGAGTGATTTAGTGTATATTGGGTTGGAATCACTGTGTCCAAATTCAGCGTTTGCGTTCTTGGTTGATGATTTCCTTTTGAAGAAAGGAGGTCACATCAGGTAGACTGGCCTGGGCTGGCTTCAGATAGTGCATGTCACCTCCCTCCAGGCTATGACGCCCACACCAGTGGACGGTGTTGCCGCCCAGAGCTGTTGCTTGTCCCTTGGGTACCGCTTGTGGAGGGCCTGCTGAGGGGCTTGTTGCAGTATGTGCGTGGCTGGTTTTCTTTTTAAGAAAAACATGGAAAACATAGATGAAGAGATTGTTCAACTCTGATTTAGTATTGTTAGATTATCAGGAAAAATATGTTCTTAGTTTTAAAGAGGCCCAGACTATGATTTATATAATTTATTGACATTTTTGCTGAATAGGTTTAAGTCAGATAATAGATTTTTAAAAACCAAATAAAGCAATGTGTCAATATTTAATGTTTTCATAATAAAAATAGAGATTATGTTCACTTATTCTGGGTCATGTTTCTCTTTTTTTTAGATTTCAAGATTTTTTTTTTTTCCTTTTGTGATACTTGGTTTAAATCCAGGGATTTCACACTGAGCTACGTGCCCTGCACCTTTTAATTTTTTTTTTTTTTTCTTTTCAAAGTTTTATTGATAAACATATAGCAATGAGACAGTTTCAAATCAAATCGAAAGTACAGTTTCATCAAATAATACACAGCATACATTCTTCCTAGTGGTTAATTGCTGTACAAGATGCAGACTTGTGATCCTACTTACAAACACCATTAGAAAAAATCATTCTATT